GATACTGACGTTAGACTGACTGGCCTTTAATTTCCCAGATGTCCTCTGGAACCCTTTTTAAAGGTGGAGGTTAGTTATCTTCCAGTCCTTGGGAATGGAGGCAGATTTTAGCAATAGGTTGCATATTTCTGTCAGGAACTCCACAACTTCACATTTGAGTTCTTTCAGATCTCTTGGATGTATGCCATCTGGGCCTGGCGATCTATCACTTTCTAATTTGTCCATCCATTGTAGGACCTCCTCTCTCATCACCTCAATCCGACTCAGGTCTTTCAACACCCCCTCCTGAAATCAGCGGTTCTGGAATGGGCAAGCACTTCCTGTCTTCCACAGAGGCAAAAGATGCATTCATCTTCTCTGCCATTTCCCCATCATCCTTTAGTAATCCTTTCAATCAGATGCACTGTTATATTGATAAATACATAAAATATAGCTTTAATTGGCACACCTACACATACACATTTGGGTGGGGAAGGAAAAAAAGAAACAGTGGGGCCAAGAGGTTATGAAATGTACAAGGCAATCTCGAGAGCCTAGAACAGTGGTAAGAATTGGTAATACTCTTTTTCCCAGCCACGCCATGCTTGCTTGACAGCTTATGTTTGTTATAAAAAAATCTGTCCTTTCAATTAAGGTCCAAGCAGAATCACACTTGCTGATACATGTTAGTTCAGTAATCTCACACCAGAGCTTCTTGTTGAAATATAATCCTTTTGAATCCAGCTGCAGAAAGTCCTGGGCTGTAGGAATGCTCTCCCACTGAACGTTTTCATCATCAGTGTCAGATGCATGTCCATTTTATTCCTTGCATAGAGAGAGGTCAAGCAGGTGAGCCCTAGACTTCATAAGGTCACTTTTGGCAGATGATGGCCTCAGTCATTCCGGAGGAGCTTGTGATGGATTCCCTGATGGTATGGTGGAAAGAGCCTCAAGAGGCTTTAAATGGCCTTGTAACCTACCTCAGGTTTCTTATTAGAGAAGGTGGATTTTTAAAAATTCATAGATGCCTTTAAGAACTGGACAACTGGTAGAAAGTGCCATCAATTTGCCACCAATTTATGGCAATCCCATGTGGTTTTCAAGGCAGGAGATGTTCAAAGGTGGTTTTGGTTTTGCCTGCCTCTGCAAAGCAACCCCGGATTTCCTTGGTGGTCTCCCATCCAACTTCTAACCAGGGCTGACCCTGCTTAGCTTCTGAGATCTGATGAGTCTGGGTCAGCCTGAGCTAACCAGGCCAGGACTATACCCTGATGGTATATAGCCACTATTATTAGGTTGGGTAACAGTGGTGCCTGGTTGGGTGTTGGCAGGGATGGAGTTGGCAGGGTTTGCTGTGAGGCCAGGTTCTTCGGCTTTGTGTCTTCCTTATATGTCCTTCTGTTGTTGGTGAGTAGGTGTTTCAAAGAGGGTTCAACAAGAAAGACTTCCAAGCAGCATCTGCTGGTCTACCACACGAGAGTTTGTGCTACAACTGGCTACTGGTCAGAGTGCTGACTTCAGATCTGGGAGACAGACCTAGGCTAGAATCTCCTTTCTGTCATGGAAACATGTGGGGCCACCGTGAGCCCGTAACTCACTTTCAGCCTAGCTTCCTTCATGGTGTTGTGATTGCAAGGATAAAGGTTGGGAGAATGACATTGTAAGCAAATCTGGATCCCCATCGGGGAGAAAAGTGGGATATAATAAATGTCTACATAAGAGCATAAGAGAAGCCATGTTGGATCAGGCCAACAGTCCAGCCAGCCCAACACTCTGTATTGCACAGTGGCCAAAATCCAGGTGCCATCAGGAGACGCACCAGTGGGGCCAGAACTCCAGAAGCCCTCCCACTGTTGTCCCCCCCAAGCACCAAGAACACAGAGCATAACTGCCCCAGACATAGTGTTCCCTCTATAGGTAAAGGTTTCCCTTGCTCGCAAGCAAGTCAAATCCAACTCTAGGGATGCAGTGCTCATCTCCGTTTCCAAGCCAAAGAGCCAGCACTGTCCAAAGAAGTTTCTGTGGTCATGTGGCCACATGTGGTCATGTGGCCGGCAGAACACTGTTACCTTCCGACCAAAGTGGTACCTATTTATCTACTTGCAATTTCTTGCTTTCGAACTGCTAGGTTGGCAGGAGCTGGGACCAGAGATGGGAGCTCAGTGCATCATACAGCACTCGGGTCTAGAACTGCTGAACTACCAACCTTCTGGTCTGCAGTTCAGCATCTTAACCATTTGAGCCACCTCTTTACCTTGTGGCTAATAGCCCCTGATGGACCTCTGCTCCAAATGTTTATCCAGCCCCCTATAAATAAATATGATTCTTGTCATTTGCTTGCTGCAACAAATTAACATGGCTACCTGTCTATATAATTTGCTCTTGTCACCATTATTTTTGAGGAGCTTGTAGCAGCAGGTTGGTTTGCCTAATCTTCCAGTGACAGCCTTGAACTACAGATTAGAAAATATCTTCAGGGATACTTTGAAAGCAACTTGGGTAGTGCTACTCTACTAGGAATACTATATGCTTCTTGGAACCTTCTAGTGTTGGCTGGAATGGCGAAGTTGGGGCTAGGGCCCCAGGAGAACCAGCCAGGACAGTCATTGTGGTGTAATACTTAGAGTGGCCGAGCGCCGAATAGATTCTTTTGATCTATGGTGCTGGAGAAGACTCTTGAGAGTCCCTTAGACTGCAAGAAGATCAAATCAGTCAATCCTAAAAGAAATCAACCCTGACTGTTCCCTGGAAGGCCAGATAATGAAACTGAAGCTCAAATACTTTGGCCACCAAATGAGAAGGGAGCACTCACTGGAGAAGACACTGATGCTGGGAAAGATTGAAGGTCAAAGAAGACGGGGATGGCAAAGGATGAGATGGTTAGACAGTGTCATAGATGCAACGAACATGAAATTGAGCAAAATTCAGAGGATGGCAGAAGACCGGAAGGCCTGGCATGATCTGGTCCATGGGGTCGCGAAGAGTCGGACTCGACTGTGTGACTGAACAACAACAACCACCCATAGTGGCAGAATAGGACTTCGGAGATCTAGGTTCAAATCTCCACTCTGCCATGAAACTTACTCTATGACCTTAGGCCAGTCAACTCTCTTTCGGTTGTTGTGAGGATAAAGCAGAGATGGGAGAACTGTGTCTGCAACCCTGAGCCCCTTGGAGGAAGGGAGGAAGGATCAATACATGGCTTTTTAAACACAGAGGGCAGGACTGTAGGAAAAGAGAGCAGAGCCCTTGGATTACCATGTTTTTCAATACTTTTGTTATCTATTTCCATAAATACTGAAGGCGGAGGGGTTGATACACCTTACCCTGTTCTGTGGATATATATTGCTCATGTATTATTGTTTTCCTTTACACTGTGGTCTTTTTGGTTTGTTAGCTGCTTTGGAGACTTGTAAGTTAAAAAGGGGGGTTATAATCTTAAAAAATAAAATAATTAATAATTAATTGTTGCTTAACATTAATTGCAGCATAATTTTAGTTTTATTTAAAATAATATTTTATTTTAAAATAAACATAAAATACTATCCAGTGTTCCCTTCTAAGCTGTGGAATCTTGTGAACAAAAATTCAACTTTGTGAGCTACTGGCATTAAATTTGTGAATGAGTGATTTGGCTACTGCATACATTAATTTGCTCCGAAGCCATCCGTCTTGAGCTATGAGAAAAATGTGTGAGCCAGAGGCAAAAAAACTGTGAGCTAGCTCACACTCACTCAGCTTAGAGGGAACACTGCATCTAATTATATTACTATAGGCAAAAGTGAAATCTGCATGGATTCTCCAGTATTGGGGGGGGGGGTGTTTCCCTGCAGACACAGATCACATCCATGGCCGTAAGAGTCACCCTGAAAATAACAGATTCATCCCTTTATGGAATAACAGAGTACATACAGATCCTCCTTCTACAGGTAAGCCATTTGACACTTTCTAATCAGGTCCCTGCCTGCTGTCAAAAGATGTGTGCATTGTAAAAGACACACACACTTCATGGTGCGCCACAGTGGTGCAAAATTACACATCCTACTACACACAAGGCATGGATGGATCCTAATGATTCTTATGTCCTAAATTCCTCATATCAACATAATTCGTATCTATGTGTGCAGACTGCACCTTAAAAAACACAGATCCAGAACCTTGTAGCACCATCCCATGGCATAAACGCATGGATGCGATGGCTTTTTTTTTTTAATGGGCAGGTGCTTCTCTGTATTCACAGAGAGACTCCTTCTCCAGAATGATTGAGGCCACATTCATCTGCCAAGGCGTCCTGTGCCGTAAAAACACACCACGTGTATGTATCCTTTCTGTTTCCTAAGAAATACACAGGCCAGTTAAATAAATAGGCATTCCACGCCCACCCATTTGGGCAGCTCCGCGCGTGGAGAGGACGATGCCTAAATAGATTTCACCCAGGTAAAAAGAGCGTTGCTATTTAGGGCAAGGGGGAAGAGCGCGGCATGGGGGGACGAGAGAGCCTCTGTTCTCTCTCTCTCTAATGCGCTCCGGGAGCTCCGTAAGGTTAGACGGCTTCAAGGCTAAGCAGGCCCCAATCTATGGGGAGGAAGCTCTTCTGCACAGGCCTCCTATGATCGGCACTGTGTTGCACGGCTCCACACGCTCCGAAGCCAGACCCCGGGATTCCTGATGAGCCGACTCCTCCCTCCCTGACCCAGCCCTCCCCGCCAGACCCCCCCCCATATCTACTGCCAGCCGACGCCCCGCCCCTTTTCATTGTCCTCCCCGCCTGTTTATACACAAAGACCCCCGGTTTCCCTTCTTCTCTCTCTCTCTCTCTCATCCCTTGCCCTTTCCTCTTTCTTTCTTTTAAAAAATCTTTCCCTTCCTCTTTTCTTCCTTTCTTCTACCTCTCTTCCCTCCCCTCCCTCTCCTGTCTCCCCATTTCCTCCTCTCTCCTCCCCCCTTCCCGGTTAAAGGATTTCAGAAACGGGGGCGGAGTGGAGCTCGGTCGAGGATTAAAAGCAAGCGGGGGTGTGTTGAGAGAAGGTCGGTCGAGGATTTGTTTTCCCCCTTCCACCCTCTTCTCTTCTGTCGCTCCGGTCCGAAAACTTCTTCTGGGGAAGCGGCGGAAGAAGGATTTTTTAAAAAAGAAGAAGGAAGAAAAGAGAAGGGGGGGAGGAGGAGGGAGGAACTAGCCAAACCCTTTCCCACCGGCAGCCGAGACCAGATCCACCCGGATCCCCTCCCTTGGCTCAGGGGGAACGAGAGCGCGGAGAGGCGACCGGGTTCCCTCCGCCTTCCCCGGCCAACGCGACCCAGAAGGCGCAGCATTGCAACCCGCCACGCTTCTAGCAGCCATGGGCCGAGCGAGGGATCGTCCAGCCCGCCGTCTGCTCCACGTTCAGCTGGTCTGAGAGCGTCCAGGGACCCTTCTCCGCCCCTCCCTCCGGTTCCGAAGACTGAGCGATCTCCTCGTTTGTGCGGGAGCCCCCGCGGAGAATCCAGATGGGGTGCTGCTAATCCGGAGTGGTCCCGTCTGCATCTGCTCATCCTCTCGGACGCCTGGGTTCCGGCGGGTCCGCGGAGCATCCCCGGTCCAAGGACGAAGGACGTCCCTTGGTCCCCACTATTTTCCCCTCGGGCCCAAAGCTATTGATCTCCCGGCGGATCCCTGCGGCGCTTGGGTTCTCTCGGGTTATCGGGATATATTATTTCCACCGCTGATCAAAAGGTTCCTTTGAACTGCTGTTCCGTCTTTGGCCGCCTGGGTTTTAACGAGTTAATTAACACTCCCACTATTGATTTAAAGGGATTTTTTCAAAAAAGAAAACACCGGCTTTCTCTAGACACCCGAATGCTTGGAATTCCCTGGATAGGAGTTCTTCTTGGTCCACAAATACTCAGCCTCCCACTGGCATTATTCCCTCGGACTCCTGGGTTCCAACCGAGCTGCTGCTAAGATCTGTCTTCCACGCTGCTTTGCCTAGCGCTAGCGGTGCCGCCTCCACTACTAGCCTGGCTGCTGACCCAATTGAGAACTTCACAAGGTGGTGTTAGGTACCAAAGTCAACCTCCTGCTCTGGTTTGCTGCTATTGATTCTGTACTGGCTCTTGAACTCCTGGGATTGCTTGACATCCGGATTCCGGTAAATGCTCCTCTCATTCATCTTGTGCGCAGCTCTTTGACACCCCCATCCTCACCCACCTGCCCCCTTTTCTTTTCAACCATGGTCTGCTTGGCTTCTGTCATCAGACGGCAATGGGATCCACTGGGGGACTTGTTTAAGATGCACAAGTATCCTGCCTGTCTTCACCAAATTGAAACGATTTGGCATAGAGGCAGTGTCCCTTCCAAACATAGAATTTTTGGCGTGGTTTTCTTAATCCCAAACCGTTTCCCATATCAGGTTCCGCTTGAAGAAATGTTCCCCACTCTTTGGGTCAAATATTATGGGAGGGGGGACAGAAGCAGCTGTCCAATATGAGCTATGACAATATCCCTCAGCCAGCTGTGGGGAAATTCACCTCTATATCTCCCACTTCCCTGCAGTTTGGAATCTAGGTTTCTGTTTCTAGGCTTGAAAGCATGAGGTCTCCTTGGTTTTGATCTAGATTCAGTAACCTGGATTAATTGTCTTCTCCTTGATCTTGATTCTCGATTGCTGGGCCAGATTACAGCACACGAGAACCTAGTCTATTAGAGCAAACCTATGCAAAGAGTTACTCCAGTCAGTGGCCTTAGACTGGAGTCCTTCTGCATAGGATTGCACTGCCAAATTCTCACCAGCCAGGAGTTTTAGTCTAGACCAGTCCATCTAGTTAACTGCTGCCTTCTGGTTTTACATTCACAGAAATCCCAGAATGCACTTAAAAAGCATTTTTTTAAAAATCAGCATTTCCCCTCCTTCCTTCCCAGTCATACCCTTGTTGCCGATAGCATAGACAGACAAAGAAGATATGTTAAAGCACGTTCAGAGATCGCTAATCCTTAGATCCTTCCTATCCCTCCTCTTCTCACGCACACACACGGCAGCCAGCCTGCATTCGGGTGCCTGGGTTCCTTGGGTGAAGAAGACCCACGTGTGGAGCTGTCACCTCCCCGGGGCGTGAGAGGGTGTGACGTGTGCGGAAAGGGTGAGTGGATTGGGTGTGTGTGGGGGGGGAGAAACCACATCCCAGGCGGAGCCCAAAGGAGGGCTTGCCTTCTTACTGTTTTTTTCTCTCGTCCTTCTGCCTTCTCTTCCTGAGTAGCTGGAGCTCTCCCTTCTACCTCCCTCCTGAATCTCCTCCCTTCCCTAGTCCTTACAGTTATCCTTCCCTCTCTTCTTCCTCCTCCTCCTCCTCCTCCTTCGGGCTCTACCCCTCTTCTTCCCTTCCCCTCCTTCCCCAGATGTCTTGGTCCCCCTCTTCTCTTTCCCCTTTCCTTTAGCCCTCTTTGCCCCACACTTCTCCTCCAGTCACCTTTCCACTTCTCCACCCAGTTTCTTTGATTTTGCTTTGACTTTCTCTTCCCCATTCTTTCTTCTCCCCCCCTTTCCAGGCCTCCTTTCCACTTGACTGTCTCTCCCCCCCCCTTCATTTCCTCTCATCCTTCATCCCCTCCCTCTTCTCTGTTGCTGTTCACTGACTTCATTTCCCTCTCTTTCCCCCTCTGCTTTGTAACTTGCTCTTCTTTAGAAGAAGAAGAAAAAACTACCCTGTTTCTTTCCCAGGTTTTCCTCCCGTTCCTCCCCCCCCGCTATCCCTGTGTGAAGATGTCTTCGTCTCCTGCACTGCCAGAGTGGAAGCTCCAGTTACTGGAGCGTCGCCGCAAAGAGGAGGAAGAGGCCCGCCGGCGGGAACGGGAGCAGCAAGACCGCATGGCAAAAATGCCCACCTGGAAACGGGAGATCATCGAAAGACGCCGGGCCAAGCAAGGCTCTAATGCTTCCTTCTCCGAGCCCAGCGGGCCGGGAGGAACAGAAAGTGGGGCGCCCCCCGCTCCTGCTACCCCACAGCCCTGCCAGGAGGGGGATCCAGAGAGCTCTGTGCTGCAGGAGAAGATTGGCCCGGTCCATCAGAACCCCTTCATTCAGCTGGAGAAGCGGCGCCATAAGGAGTCCGCCCCGTCTGAGAGCGACCTTGCGAGCGCAAAAGCCAAGCAGATTGTGGATCTGTACGGGCAGATTCCTGGTGTCCGCACGCTGCGTGCAGACAATGTCATTATCATTGAGTCGGTCCCGGGGGCGCCGCCGGCTCAGCTCGCCAGCGACCGGCGCTCTGGGGAGTCCAAATCGGGCAGTGTGGAGTCCCTCAACGAGCTGCTGGCCCGTCGTGGCGGCAGCGTCACCGAGATCCGCGCCGGGGAGGTCTTCATCGTCAAGTCGGCCTTGAGCCGTAGTGTGGAGGACCTTGATTCTGTTGGCAAGGCGGAGTACCGATCGTCGTTGCCCCTTGAGCAGCGCCGGGGGCGGGTAAGCAAATTGCTAAGCAGGTTCAGCCAGGAGGATGGTGGCAGGCCGATATCACCATGCCCAGTGAGATCCCTCAGCACCGAGAACTTAACGGAGGGTACCTATGTGGCCAGAAGGCCTGGCCGTGTACCAACAGATCCCAGCCCAACCCGGCAGCACCATGACAGAACACCCAGTCCTCCCCGTGACCTGCCAGGCCTCACCTCACCGGTGCCCTTCACTGTGGCATCTTACCGCAGCCAATTTGAAGCCAAATCAAGCAGTGGCGAGGTCTGGCCGGACAGCCCTCCAAGACGCTCACCGACGGGCAGAATGTGGGGCAGAGAGGCTGCCTCCCCTGAGAGAGGGCCCAGATTGGACAGCATTGATCCTGAGGCCACGTTTGAGTTCCGTCCAGCGCTGCCACCAGCACCGGTTGCTGAGGATGATGTCCAGGGCAAGGCCTTGGCTAATCTACGGCTGCACTCCCGGAACTCCTTTGTGGTTGTGCCGCGACGGGCCTCGGCCTCCCCGCTCCCACCCACAGAACTCAAGCAGGAAGCCAGCCCTTCTCCTTCTTCACCCAAGCCCCCAGCCCTCACTTCCTGCTCCTCACCCAGCTGTGAGCCGCTTCCCCCGGAGGCCGAGGATCCACCCGAGGCTGAGGCCATGAGACGCGGTGGAAACTGCAATGCCAAGGAGGATGTCAGGATGGGGGGCTGGGTTCGTGCCTCGTCCCCCCACCCGGCCGTGCAGCGTCGCAGCGGCAACACCATTACGATCAACCCTCGCAAGGCCCCTGTGACACCTGTCACTGCAGTGGAGAACGGCATTGAGAGTGACACTCCCACAGCCGTGGCACCGGTGAAGAAACGCTATCCCACCGCTGAGGAGATCCAGGTGATTGGAGGCTACCTCTCGCTTCAAAGGTCCTGTCTTGCAAAGAACGACCCGCATCGGAAAAAGGTACACACCCCTCTCTGCTGTGTTTCATACTGCCTCAGACTTGCTGGCCATTTCCCCCTTTTTTGAGTGTGTCTCATTTATCTCCTTAGAATGTCCTGCATATTTCCTTCCCACCCACCCCCCAGTCTTTGTTTGCTCTTTCCTTTGCTTCTCCCCTTCCCAATTTCTCTTCCATTCTCTTGTTTTCTTTCTTGCCTTTGTGCCCTTTGACACTACTGGCACAGATTGTGGATCTGTACGGGCAGATTCCTGGTGTCCGCACGCTGCGTGCAGACAATGTCATTATCATTGAGTCGGTCCCGGGGGAAGAATTGAGTGACTTCAACACAACTGATGTACAACAAATAGCATTGAAACACACACCAAAGAGTTGGTGGGCAGAGCCTCACCTGGTAGGCTACAGACCTCGTTACCCTTAACGAGGTCTACATAACATGTCTCCGTGTACAAAATAACATATTTCCATGTACAAAATGCCTTTACCTCTTTGTAAGGTAGCTTGCTGATGTTCCCATTTTACAGGTCTCTCGGGGCAAGCCCGGCGTGCCATCCAGAGGGAATCATGGTGGCTTTACTTCGGCTCACTCCCCTTAGTGCTTTATATAGTACTTTTATATTTGCTGCAATGGTGCACACTTTCTTGTATCTACAAAGAGATGAATTGTAAACATAGTACTAGTACTCATGTCCATGTAAGGGAAGACAGTTAACAGTTTTCCTCTAGAATGCATGAGCCGACTTTAGAGATAACACCCACTGCTAAATGGAACATTTCCCCCGTCTTTCTTTGTCCTCCACCCCCTCATCTTTCTTCTCGCCCTACCCTCTCATGCTTTTGCTACCCTCTCATCCTCCCCAAAATTTTGTCTGCTCAAGGAGAACTTCAGGCTGTCCAGCAGTCAAAGGTCAGCTGCAGTTGACCTTTGACCTACGCCTTTCGTTTGAGAGTGGGAGCATTTTCTGTGGTTCCCCACATGCACCTTTCCATCTTCCCCACAGGTCTCAGTGAGCAGGTTGCTAACATAGGACAGAATGTAGAACAGAAATCGAATATAAGTAGTCACGGATGTAAGGTTTTTTACAACCCTTTCCAGTTGGTAATGCTTGACTTTCATATAGTGCTTTCACTGTTCAAATACTAAGCATGTGCTTTGGTGTAATCCTTACACACCCTTGTTAAGTAGACCTGTATTATTATCCCAGTGCTGTAGATGGGAGGCAGTGAAAGAGTGGCCTTATTTATTAAAAATAGCCAGATAGGGTCCCCAAAGCAGCTTGTCAAAATCACCTAGGAGGTTCATGGCAGAAACAAGATTTAAAATCAGAGACCTCCTTGGATCACAGTTCATTCTCTCTAGCCGTTATGCTGCACCAGCTTACATTGATTCTGCGGGCTTTTACCCAAGACTGACAAGTGAAAATGGCTACCTATAAGTGGCACTTACGGATGATGGCCCCAGGAGGCCCAATTACAGCTCAAGCCCCCTATTGTGTGGGCTAGGTTTTATGAACACACATCAAAAAACGCAAGACTTGGCTTAGTTCAAAGCAGGATCGGTAACGTGGGTGTGGTTCACATGCTATTGTCTGTCAGGCTAAAATTTCAACAGGTGTTGTGTTTTCTTTGAATGGGTGCTTTCAAGTGTTCACAGAAACTCCCCCCCTGTTAAGGACTCCAAACATGAAAAGGTGCACGCATGGGTCCTCTTGTGCTCTGTAATCACTTTTCTCCAATGCACCTGCTCCCTGCTCATCCACAGTTCTTTTATGAATTGTTTTGAGGACCTGTGAGTGTGAATGAACAGATGTTCCTCCCTCAGGATAAGAGATATCCCTCGGCTCCCTTCCAGCCCTATGGTCTGAATTCATTTTGTTTTATATTGCAATATCAGAGGGTATCATGAAATATTTTGTTGCAGTACGTATCCCAAATATGGTAAATGTTAACATTTACTGGTAATTTCAGAAGGCAGCTGTGTTGCTCTGCAGTAGACCAGCTGGACTCAAATCCAGAAGCACCTTAGAGGCCGAACAAGCATTTTGGAGTATGAGCATTTGACTGTCAAAGCTCCCTTTGTGAGATACTGGTAATTGTTAACATTTAAAGAGGCCTAGAGGGCAATGTCAGAGACATCTGACTTTTGCTAGGAAGGCTTGAAGCTAACTGAATGCCTTCAACAAATATCCAAATGTTATCCTTATTTGCATCACTTAACAGTAAGGGTTATTTTCCATACCACTTACCATGTTTTCATTCTCTGGATTGTTTTTGGCATGTCCTTATGGGGAAAAACAAACTGCATGATACAAAAGTTTCTAGCATTTCCTGCTGGTCCCCTTGAAAATCTTAAGAATTCCTGGCAAATGTCAACATATATACCAGGTTTGACATGTACTGCTATATAGAAAATGTATTTATTTATTTATTTATTCTTTAGATTTGTATCCCGCCCTCCCCGAAGGTTCAGGGTGGCTAACAAGGGCATAAATGCCTAATAAAAACAATAAGAACAGTATAAAATACAATACAATATACAACATAATACAATTAATAAAATATCGGTGCTCCACTACTTACTCCAATTCATAAAATCAAGATGGTGTTCTGCAGCTGTTATAACAATACAACGATCATATGTCCCCACAACCCTATCATCCGCCAGGTACGTCTCGCACCCCCGATGGTACCCGCTCCAGCGGTGGTAAGGGTGCAGTGATGGAAAAAGCGTTGGTGGAATAATGGTGGTGGCGGCTCCTACTCGAAAGCCTGACGGAAGAGCTCGATTTTACAGGCCCTGCGGAACTGCCCAAGGTCCCGCAGGGCCTGGATCTCTTCTGGGAGCTCATTCCACCAGGTAGGAGCCGCACCGAAAACGCCCTGGCCCTGGTCACAGCAAGTTTGATGTTCCTGGGGCCTGGAATATCCAGGAGATTTTGGGTCCCCGACCGTAGTGCCCTTGGGGGAACATGCGGGGAAAGGCGGTCCCTTAGGTAGGCCGGAAAATGTAGGTGCAAAATTACATAGTTCAAGAAAACAAAGGCATAGTGATATTATAATATTATAATTTCCACTTGTATCCCTCATGGATTTTCTTACCCATAATCTTACTTTAGAGCATCCATTTTTCATAGAGCCAATCTTGAAGATCTCAAAAAGAAATAGTGCCAGCGGAGCCACAGTTCCTTCAGGCTGCTCTTTCCTAGTCAGCATAAGGTTTTTTCTCAAAGCTGGAAGAAGAAAAAAATGGTTGTAGAGGAGAATTCAGGGGAGGAGGACTAGGCAGGAAAAGGGTTAAGCCCTTGCCTACTCCCTTTCCCCTCCAAATTATGCCCATCTCAGCTGCTTTTTAGATGTTCATCAGAGACCCAAGTCCAGGTCTCTGGTGAACATCTAGCTGAGACAAGTGCTAAACAGACCTGGGTCTTCTGCCTGTATGGGAGGAAGTGGGGCCTGTCGTGTCTGAAAGTGTTGGGAACAGGGAGGGGTTTAAAACTTGGTCAGGCTGCCTGATGGTTGTTTTAGTGCAGCGATAGTCACTCAGTGGCTCGGGAGCCGCAAGTGGCTCTTTGACATGCCACCCGTGGCTCTTCTGAGCACTGTTCTGTAGTGTGGCACCTGCCCCATGACATGTCTCAGAAACGGGGGCAAGGCCCTTGGCCTGGCTTCCCACAGTGAAACAGCTGACACTGGAAGAATGAGGAACGAATAAGGTGCAAGCGTCCCTGAGGTACAGGCCTCATGCCAGGGATAGCAGTAAATGCAGCTCTTTTGGTTGATAGTGATTGTGAATGGGGCTCTTCATGAGCTGCAGAGCAAATACCACAGTTCTAGATCAAGGTCTTAGCCAAGGAGAGGTGTATATAGTGGGTACATACACATCCTACAGCCCATGGGCTGCAACCAGCCCACTGAAGCCATGTTATGCACTCCGCAGCTGGCTCCTGACAAACTGCTTGCCATTTCCCAGAGCAGGGACATGGCGGTAAGTTGAAGGTCGGGAATGCCAACTCTCAGCTGCTCTAAGGCTGATTCCCCCCATAAAATACATAAAGGAAATGTCTTTGTTTCATCCCAAAGGTTGCAACAGGGAAATTTCCAGAGGGTGTGTGTGTGTGTCAGAACACTGCCTGTCAGCCCAGAGACCAGCTAAGAGGCTGTGTTCTAGTTCTGACCCACCAAGAGTTAACCTGGGCTATAGCGGAACCAGGTAACATCTCAGAACAGCCCACTTAGTTTGGTGTAGTGGTTAAGTGCACGGACTCTAATCTGGGAGAACCGGGTTTGATTCCCCACTCCTCCTCTTGCACCTGGCTGGATGACCTTAGGCAAGCCGTAGTTCTGATAAGAGCTGTTCTTGGAAAAGAGCAGTTTCTGTCAAGAGCTCTCTCAGCCCCACCCACCTCACAGGGTGTCTGTTGTGGGGAGTGGAAGGGAAAGGAGATTGTAAGCCACTCTGAGACACCTTTGGGTAATGAAGGGCGGGGTCTAAATCCAATCTCTTCTTCTTTGCTTCACTTAGCCCAATCCTAGGGTTTCTAGCCTCCAGGTAGCACCTGGAGATCGCCCGCTATTACGATTAATGGCCAAGATCCATTCTTCTACAGAAAATGGCTGCATTAGAGGGTGGACTCTATGGCATTATACACTGCTGAGGTCCCTCCCCTCCCCAAGCCCCACCTTCTTCAGGCATAGCCCCCAAAATCTCCAGGTATTTCCCAACCCAAAGCTGGCAGCTCTAACTAATGGCTCACATAACAGGTTTTGGCGTGTGCTCCCACACACATACACATCTGGATATAGAGCAAATTGAGGGGAGAGCCTGAAAGTGATGTTGGTAAGGAAGGGAGATGGGTGAAGAGATTGAAGAGAAGAACGTGAGCAGAGCCAGGAATTATGGAAATGACCTAGCAGCTGCATGGTTTCTCGATGTGAAATGAACAAGACCGGACATGTCAAAACCAAAGACGTCCCCTTTGCAAATCTCTCAGTGAGAGCTTGA